ATGGGATTTAGGAAAGGACTGGGAACACGAGATGCACTGTTTTGCAGTAAGTGTTCTTTCGCAGAGATGCTTGGATATTAATCAGGAAGTATATGCCTGTTTCATTGATTTTGAGAAGGCATTTGACAGAGTGCAGCATAATCGACTTAAAGAAATTTTATTAAATAAAAAACATAGACAGTAGAGACATTAGAATCATCTGTAACCTCTATTGGAATCAAACAGCAAAAGTGAAAGTTGAAAACGAACTGATCAAGGATATCCAGATTTCACCGTGGGGTCCGCCAAGGGTGTATATTATCACCCTTGTTATTCAATTTATACAGTGAAGCCATCTCAGAATTAGCGCTTGCCGAGATCAGTGAGGGCCTTATAATAAACGGTGAGCCACTTAATAACATAAGATATGCTGACGACACCGTCCTTTTGGCAGGAACACTAGAAGAACTGCACACCTTGCTGAACAACTAAAATATATATTGCAACGATTATGGACTAAAAATCAATTTGAAGAAAACCAAGTTCATGGTATTTACAAAAGCACAAAACATCAAAGTTAAGCTAGTACTAGATAATACAGAAATTGAACAAATATCTCTCGTACAAATACCTTGGAGCATGGATCACAGAAGATACTGATCAGACAAAAGAAATAAGATGCCGCATTGAAATTGCGCGGTCAACTATTTAATAGAATGAGAAAACTTTTATGTGATCGCGATATCAATATATCGCTCCCGGATAAGAATGCTTCGATGTTATATTTTCTCTACCCTTTTGTATGGAGTTGAAGCTTGGACACTTAAAAAAATCCAACATTAAAAACCTAGAAGCATTCGAAATGTGGGTTTTACCGACGCATATTTGAAAATATCATGGATGGATCGCAAAACAAAACGAACAAGTTCTCGAACAACTAGGAAAAACAATGCGAAGTTTTAAATTCCATAAAGAACAGGAAATTGGAATACTTGGGGCACATCATGAGAGGTGAAAAGTACGAACTACTAAGGAATATAATGCAGGGTAAAATCAAAAGGTAGAAGAAGCGTAGGAAGACGTAAAATCTCGTGGCTACGCAATCTCCGTGAGTGGTTTGGATGCAGTTCAGTTGAACTATTCAGGCGAGTAACCAATAAAATTATAATTGCCAGAATGATTTCCAATCTCCGATGGAGTGATAACTTGAAGAAGAAAATATATTGATCTATAGTTGACCTTTTAATATGAAAGCTGCATTGGTAGTTGCCTAGAATATCTAAAAAAACTTTGTAAATAAAAAATTATTAAAAAACAAAAATTTATAACTTATGCAGAAAATAAGTTGAAACTGACATGGTGAAACAAATACAAATCCTTTCCAAGAATATATTTATGTAGGAAAAGCTATGAGAATAGATAGAAGTAATTTTCTTATATCATTTAAAACTAAAAAATATGTTGGAAATTAAGACGAAGTATATAATGCCATGGAGGAACGCACTCGATGGATGGAGAGGAGGCATTCTCCATTGCAGGGAAAAGATCTCAAACTTAAGATTTCGCAGACGATATCAACACTGATAGCAACATCTGAAGAGGAATGTCGAGACTGATAAAGAGTAGTGATTAACCGAAAGCAACAAGTGTGGGTCAAGATTAATATAATCAGAAAACAAAAATCATGATTGTGGGACTACGCGAATATCCTCCAAACAACAGGCGCCCTAAATCAATTCGAGAAAGTAGACGAGTTCACGTATCTAGGATCTTCCTTAAGCAATGCAGCCTCCTGCCATACGGAAATTCGCAGAAGTATAGGAATGGCCAAGAACGCGATGAAGTCGACTGTCCAAAAATATGGAAGGACCGCTCTTTGTCCAAAAACCTCAAAATGAGACTGGTACGGACACTCGTTTTTTCAATGTTTTAGTTACGGTGCCACGAAACATGGACAACTAAAATCAGAAGATAGGAAAAGGATTGACGCATTCGAAATGTGGTGCTCGGAGACGAATGCTACCGCGTCTCGTCGGACGGAGCACAGATCTCCAATCAGTCGATTCTCGAAGAGCTAAAACATTCAGACCAGACTCTCTCCTCTCAGTGTCTTGCAAATGTTTTTTAAAGTTTTTTGACCACAATTGCGAGAAGAGACAATGACAACTTAGAAAGACTAATTGTGTGCGGAAAACGTAGATAGGACGTAGAGGGCCGATGGACGCTCACCTATCCGATGGTCAATTCAAGTTACAGAAAGCCATGGAGAGACGTTTTCGAGTCCATGAGAGCAGCCCAAAATCGCAAGAGATGGAGAGAATTGACAGCCGCATTGTAGGGAATCACGATCCTCAGCAATGAGGAAACGACAAGAGAGAGAGATTTTAATGCATGTGTCGTAGCCTCTACAACATATTTGGACTCAGACATGGAATATACTAGACATTAACATATATATTAAATGGAGTAAATTAAAAAAGCGAGAAAAACAATGCTGAAGAATAGCAAAAGAAAAATAAAAATAGATAAAGATCTAAACAAAACAACAGAAAGCACCGAGAATCTCTACAAAACTAAAATACAGAACGGGATAATCTATAATGAAAGGAACAAAGATGTTAAACAGATCATATTTTGAATAAATATAATAATAAAAAAAATCTAAATATTTTGGAGGTATTTTCCTGTGTCATTTTAATATTATTTGTTATCTTTAATGACAACATTTTTGGCGAAAGAGGTAAAACCACAATTTCACCACATTTTCAAAGTGAAAGTCAAAATCAAACGTATTTGAAACTGAAATTGTGGTCAATTCCAATTAAAGATAATACAAAAACATATTCTTGATAGATACTTGTTGCTTTGGTGTCCCATAGTAAAACTAAAAATAGCAATGAGTATTAAAATGAAGAATATTAAGCAATAACCATGAAGAGTTATCAAATTAGCTACTTTAAAAAGAAATAGGCCAAGAGCAACACAATAAAATCAGTTTAATTTATTTCAACGTATCTAATTTTAATTATTGTTAACAATGCTGCATTATATGTTCTGGTTTTATGAATATATAATTAAATCAAAAGATTTAATCTAGATATCTAAAGAATAGATTAGATTTATCATTGGCAAAGGTGCACTTTACATTTGTACGGAGAGATTGTAGTTTTCATATTTTGATTGAATCCAATATCTCCCTGCTATTCTCAATTGTTCTTAGTACTTCTTCATTGGTTATTCTGTCTGTCCAGGAGATTCTCAGCATTCTTCGATATGTCCACATTGCAAATGCTTTCAATTTATTGGGACATTATTTATTTAAAGTCCACACCATACAAGATCAGAAATAATACATAACACTTTAGTACTCGTTTTCTAAGATTTAGGCTGAAGTCTTTACAACATAATATTATCATGGTTATTCCTTTCATATTTCACGTATGTGAAATAGAAAGATTATTGTGCATTAAAAAAATAAAATATTTTACGCAAAACCTAATAGATCCTTATTTCCTTTACAATTTATCTTACTAAAGTCTGAAATGACACCTTTTCAGTCTGTGGCTTTTTCGCAATGAAAACTCTTCTTTTGTGATAATTCCACGGCTTCTCCATTTAACTGGCATAAAAAGAAGCAATGTTAGTATTTCTTTTTCTATTCCTTGCTATGATCTACAAAAAAAAGTTTATATTATATCCAACTAACGTCCATGAAGGGGTAGAGTGAGATGTGTTTGCGAGCGATTCTGCGCTACTAAGGATTGTCTCACTGTAACCCACAGGTACAATTTCACCAAAGTGGGATATTTTTTCTAAATTCGATAAAATAAAAATAAAATGCTAGGTAATTACATGCAGAAATACCTAATCTTTACTTACCATCAATATTAAAGTACTAACTCTATGCACAACCGAATATCGGTCGATATGAGGAATAATATTGTTACTTTTGAGCCTTGCTGGTAGACCCTACATAAGAGAATATACGAAAGGCTATAGGAGGATATTAGCGAGATGCAGTTCGGGTTTCGAAATGGAATTGATACTCGAGAAGGACTATTTGCCATCAACATATTGATTCAGCAATGTCTGGATGTAAACGTTGATCTACACTTATGCTTTGTTGACTACAAAAAAGCTTTCGATAAAGCAAGACATGAGAAACTAATAACAATATTTATGAACAAGCGCATTGACAGTAAAATCGTAAATAAGTGCAAACATTATATTGGAACCAAAGTGACACATTTCAAATTGATGGGCAACAATCAGAAGAAATGAAGATCTGTAGAAGAGTTAGACAGGGATGTGTTGTATAGCCACTTTTGTTTAACTTATATTCTGTCATAACTATCAAAGCGGGAGTTATCTTTAAGGAAAATTAATTAACAACTTACGATATGCAGACGACACTGTGATCACAGCAACGAGTATAGAAGATCCACAATATCTTGTCGAAAGCTTAAGTATGAGTAGTGCTAAGATGGGAATTACTATAAACGCTAAAAAAGACGTTAGTACATGCTAATTACAAAAAGAATACAAAATATACATCTCTTATTGACAATCAATGGTACTGTATAGAACAAGTAGAAAAATATCAGTACTTGGGAACTTTGATCAATGAAACCAATGATCATACTGCAAAAAATAAACAGACTCTACTTATTGAGACAACCTTATGGTATTGATAGCAAGCAAAGAATTGTTGACATGTCCTTAGAAAATGCATTGTCTCACGTGAAACATATCTCACTGTGGACCACTCTCCCCTATATTTGGTACCCAAATACTTGATCAAGATATGTCTGCAATTTTCAATAAATACTATATTTTGTATTCTTTTTTTTTGTAATTTAATACAATTAAACATTCTATTGTATTTGTGTAATTACACAGAGTAAATGTTTTCAACAAGTGCAGTTTGAATTTATTTTTGTTATCTGATTACACCAGAGTACTAACCGGTATCCAATTAATCTGATGCATTGCATCCATATATAATAATACCGTATTTTCAGGGATATGCACCAACTGGGCCCTAGCAGTATTTTTAAACCATAGGCCATTTCCAACATACAGCTTAGAGAACATGCCGGATACATCATTTTCGTGTAGAGACAAAATTCTGGGAGGATACTACGCAGACGCTGATGCTCAATGTCAGATGTTTCACATTTGCGTCAAAGTCGCAGGAATAGGGGTAAGTCTAGTTATTATTTTCACGGACATTCTTTCTACAAAATCTATTATGCATTATTAATAATTGTTTACATTTTATATTGTTAACACAACAGAATTACCTAATTGTCGAAATCAATTTTAATTTTAATCTTTTCGCAATGGTCCACAGCAAACAAAAAAATTGAATAAAGAAATTAATTTAATTATAATAATAGAATATAGGATGTTTACAACAAAGGAGAACAGTACTGTTTAAATGCATTTATATACTACCTCAAACTTTTTTTTGTCTTGCTCACTTATATTGAAGTTTTTAAATTTCTTCTGGGCTTCTTGCCCGGCAATGTTCAACAAAATAGCTTATTTAGTTTCATCGTTCTTCTTGTCCAGCCCCGTAGCTTAAGAGCATATTTCTAAATTTCCAGGGGCATCGTATTGTGGATAGCCTGGTTAAATATGGACACAGATATCCCTTCCCAATGATTGAAATATTGGAGTACTTTGCACCATACACAAAAAAGGAGATATTTTTGAAAGCTCTAACCACAGAGGAATTACGCGCTTTATCAACTACGAGAATCTTTTGACACTGTTAAACAAGAGAAGTTAGAAGAAAGTACAATGATACAAATATTTGGGCTGCTAGGTGAATGAAAAAGAAACAAGTAAAGTACCTAGGAATGACATTGCACCAGAATGGAAAATGGATGGAGAACATGCGGAGGTGGTCCCGAAGGCTGCGAATAGTGCGGCTGCGTTAGGGAGGGTGATGCCGAACATTGGAGGACCCAAATCCGAAAGAAAGAGGGTCTTACATGGTGTTGTACAGTCAATCGTCCTCTACGCGGCACCATTCTGGAGCGAGGTGGTAGAGATAACGGCCTATAGAATAACAGAGTAACATACACGCTAGATCCGTGCAAGAAAAAGAAGAGGAAAAAAAACAGCTGAACCAATGGCAAAGATAAGAGTGAAAGATGGTGAAAGGTGAAGCTAGAAAAGTTGGTCAGACTGTATGAGTTAGAATGCGTGAGTCAGACTGTGGGGAAAGGAAATGCCCGTCTGGAATGATGCCGAATTAGGAGCGATTAGGATCTTCTACGCGCTACCTGGAACGAGACAGGGACCTCCTTGCTGATGAATAGAGTGTGGATGTGAATGAATGGAGAATAAATGAATAAAGGTAGTTTCGGAAGTGCTACCGGCCTTACAGCCATTCCGCTTCCGGATCGCTGGATGACAGAGGAGGGTCTGGTTTAGCAGGTAGGCGTACCTCGGGAATTATTGACGGCAGTTCGAAGAATCGATCCTAGCACTAAGTTTAGCTCAGGCGCCGTACTGGAAACATGAGCTGTCTTTTGAAGATTCAAATCACACTCTATAAAGACGGAAAAAGGTTAATGAAAAATGGACTACCTCAGATAAATCAAATTAGCATAAAGTCAACAGAGCATTATTTAAAAAGATGCAACAAGTCTTAAACAACAAAGCGCTGTAAAATTGAGGATATCGTGGATGAAAAGAGTACTAAATGAAAGTTTTACAGCGTTTAAACAACAAAGAAAGGTTACTGAAATACCACTAAAGAAGAAAAATATTGGAGTACTTTCATGTGATAGAAATAAACATAAATTTTTACATATAATTATTTATAGAAATATAGAAAGGGAACGTGGTGAGCATACAACACTATTTAGGTCTATTGCAGACAAAGTAAAGATCATGCGACTGGTCATCATTTGGTCTCTTGCAAAATCTATCGTCGGTTATTATTAAAATAACCAATCAAAAATATTTAAAAGTAATTGAGTTTCTTAAATGCATAATAAATCTACAAAAAATCATCAACAATTTGTTATAAAATAATCCTGCCACTGTTTAGTCACAATAATTTAAATAATAAAGAACTTTATAATAATGTAAAGTAGATTTTCTAAGTAATTTAAACACAAAATTTGCTAAATTATGTATTGTGTGTATTAAACATATGTTGTGTCCTTGTAACCTACTAGTATATTTCCCGGTAAATCTTCTTCTTATGTAACTTACGTCTTATTTCATAATATTTACAAGAAAATTACTTCATTGGATGGTTTTTTAAATAATTATACAGCATCCTTATGCAAAGTTTACAAACATCTCGATCTGTGACCTACCGGTAGCGACATATGGACAACTGTTGTCGGAATTAACATATATATGACATAATTTTATGAAAATTAATTGTGTGGTTATCTAGGGCATGTAATACACAATATGCGATTATTCATTACAGAGATAAAAATTTAAAATTACAAAGATGTGCTACTTTTATTTTACTGGAACCTGGATGAAAAATCAGTTCTCATCAGACCTAAAAAAAAACAAATTTAATTTGTCACCAAGAAACAAAATTTACAATAAAAATAAATTAAATAATGCAGGGCTTCATTATAGTGGACTCATTAAGTGGCAATTAGCCACTTAACGAGATCACTCTGATATTTGTCAATATTTATTGGTTTTTGTGAAAATGCTGAAACAGGCCGATTTTATATTCCCAATAGAGCCATCTTATAACATCTTTGTCATTTGTTAAAATCTTCACTTTCAGTACATCAAGATGAACCCTAGCGTTTTCTTATGGGATTTACATGAATGAGCAGAAATAAGTAAACTAATAAAAGCAGAGTATGGGTCGCTTGGGCCAGACGCCAGACATACTCTGACGTCACTGGCGCCAATGTCGGTAAGCATTGGATCTACATTACCGACCAACGCGTAACTTAGCATGGTTCCGCAGCTATAGTCGTGACCGAAACAATATGCAATTCTTCTTTTAATTTTAATTTTTTAACTATTATCCACTATTTATAAGACAGTTTTAATCCAAATTATTAAATAAAAAAAGTCTGTCTTGTGTGGGACTCGAACTTGCGACCAGCGTCACCGAAGCTAAGCACTCATATTGATAAGCCTTGTAGAACTCGCATAATTATACAAAAACAAAGATACCGCAAATTGAATAATCGAAATAAATAATGTATACGAATCGATACACAACAATAATAAGGTTGAGGGATAAAAGAAACCTATTACATTACCATTCAACACACACTAGACAATCACGCTATATTAATATACTCAAAACGTAGTTTCAACGCTTAAACACCTTCTTCTTTAAGTGCCGTTTCACAATCAGAGCTTGGATAGCATCATCACTATCTTTACTTTATCTACTGCTGCTCTGAAGATTCTATAGAACTGCATTTAACCAGTCCCTTAAATTCTTCACATGACACTCTCCTTCTTCTATACTCCTTCCTCTCTTATCTTTCCCTGTATTATCAGCCTTAGCAGTTTATATCGCTGTCCCCTCATTACGTGTCCCAGTCTTGTACTTTCTTATTTTCATTGTGTTTATTATTTCGCATTCTTTGCCCATTTCTCGCAATACTTCCCTGTTAGTTTTTTTCTGTGTCCAGGCTATTCTAAGCATCCTCCTGTAACACCATATTTCAAAGGACTGTTACTTATTTATGTGTTCTTGCTTCAATGTCCAGCTTTCAAGTCCATATTGCAGTATCGAAAACACGTAGCATCTCAGTGCTCTTACTCTTAGTTCTAATCTAAGATCTTTGTTGCAGAGAATTGGTTTCATTTTTACAAAAGCATTTCTTGCTATTTCTATCCTAGCTGTTAATTCGGTTGTTTGATCATTATTATCTGAAATCCAGGTTCCTAGGTATTTGTATTTATCAACCCTTTCTATCGGTACATTTCCCAAATGTATGTTTGTTGGTATATTTGTTTTCTTTGTTATTATCATGTATTTGGTCTTTTTTATATTCATTTTTAGTCCATATTTTTCACAGAAACTGTTTGTTTTGTTTAGCAGTAATTGGAGTTGTTCAGCAGAGCTTGCCATAATCACGGTGTCATCTGCATATCTTATATTGTTAATAGATCTTCCGTTAATTAATATTCCTTCACTTTGAGATAGTAATGCTTCTTCAAAAATGGCTTCACTATATACATTAAATTGTAATGGGAAAATAATACATCCCTGCCTAACACGGAAATCGTTCTCAAAATACAAACATTTACTGTTTGTATTTTGAGAACCATTTCCGAAGTGGAAGTTGAAACGTCAATAAACGTATTTTAACCTTTATTTGTGGCTTATTCCCAGTTAAATAGTAATTAAATTTTTGTTGTTTATATACTTTGAACAAATCGGGATTCTTAGTGGCATCTGCAATGTCTTTAATAAGAAAGATCTGTGAGACCCTATTCATTGCATAGATTTTTTCAGCAGTTTATCGTACTCTTTTTAGTGGAAAATGCTTTAACAATAAGTTATAAGTTTCGGTAAAAAAGACTGTCAAAAAATCAGGATCATGCTGTATCGTCGATATTTGATAACATCTAGTACACACATTTAATTCAAGGTCAGATTAGCTCTATGTCGGAGAGAAGGTGTGGTAAGGTCAAATGCACAAAAAAACTACGTAGTACGTCAAAATTTCAAACACAATTAGATAACATGAAATTATAATTTATCATTGGACGCCACCCCTATATTTTCAACTCGCAGGGGACGAGGATAAAAAAAATTAAAATTCAGTAATAAAAAGAAACATTAAAAATTATATTATTCCCAAAGGATACTAACATATTACTTCACATTGACTTTACTACAAACAAAACAACTTCATATCGTATTAAATCAAGAATTGGTTCTTAACAATAAATGAAACTATATTTCTTTCCCAAATTTCGAAATTTGTTTACATTTAAAGCATTTTTGTAGTTATTTAGTAATTAAACATATTAAGTCAAAACTTTAAACAAAATTAAATATATTTCACTATATTCTTGTCTCCGTGAATCTAGGTAAAAAAAATAGATACAACCTTATATTATCCATACTCTGGGAACCAGGAAAAAAGAGATATACTCTGCTTCTTCTTATCCGTTGGTTATTTCATCAAATATTAACTAATAGAATCCATTTATATATAAGTAATTATTGGAAAC